TTGAAGCAAGCTTCTAGAAGCTGGAATCTTAATTTTGATGAAATAGTAAAACAATATGGATTCATAAAGAATGAAGATGTGCCTTGTGTCTACAAGAAGGTTAGTGAGAGCATGATTATCTTCTTGATATTATATGTAGATGACATATTACTCATTGGAAACGATGTCCCTACCTTGCAACAATTAAAGACTTGGTTGGGGAAATTCTTTTCTTTGAAGGACCTAGGTGAAGCAGCCTATATATTAGGAATCAATATCTATAGAGATAAATCATAAAAATTGCTTGGCCTAAGTCAGGGTACATACATAGACAAAGTGTTGAGACGCTTTAATAAGCATAATTCCAAGAAAGGATTCATACCTATGAAACATGGCATGTGTCTATAAAAAACATAATCCCCTTCAACTAAGGAAGAAAGCGATCACATGAATAAGATTCTATATGCATCTGTAATAGGATTTATCATGTATGCCATGTTATGTACTCGACCAGATATCTCGTATGCTTTAAGTGCAACAAGTAGGTTCGAATCTGATCCTGGTGATATATGGAGGTCAGGAAGAGCTTACTGTAATCACATACACCAATGCTAGCTTCCATACAAATAAGTATGACTTTAGATCTCTATCTAGTTATGTGTTCTGTTTAAATGGTGGTGCTGTGAGCTGGAAAAGTTCAAAGGAAGATACAATTTCTGATTCTACAACCGAGGCCAAGTATATTGCTGCCTCAAATGCATGAAAGGAATATGTTTGGATCAAGAAGTTCATTAGTGAACTTGGAAGAGTACCTAGAATTATGGATCCCATTGATATCTAATGTGATAACAATGGTGCTATCGTACAAGCTAAGGAGCCTAGATCTCACCAATGATCCAAACAAATACTTAGGCATTATCACCTCACTCGAGAGATAATCAATCGAGGATATGTGAAGATATGCATAGTACCTACACTTGACAATATGCTGAGCCACTAACAAAGCCTCTTGCACAACAGAAGCATGATGGCCATAATAGATCTATGGGTATTGATGATATGCATAATTGGATCTAGTGCTAGTGGGAGATTGTTGGTGTAAGCCCTAGAGGCCAATACTTTTGGTACTTGTATCGAATTATTTATTAATAATAAAAGGAATTTCTTTATTAAGTTTACTTTTCAAAAATAATAAAGTCCTTAGAATAGTTCACATGTTTAATGAAATGTTAATTGTGACTTAATCATGAGATCTCATTAAACATAAAGACATTATTCTTAAAGTATCTGTAGTCGAGCTTTATTGCAAAGTGGAATAACATTAAAGCATTGAAATTATTATGAAGATAGACTGATGATCATATCTCATGGATTATGGATAAGGAGTTATCAATTCTTAACATTGGTATGAATATTAGGAGTAATATTTATACTGGATTGACCCGCTATGAGAATACTACATAAAATGTTATGCGAGGTGTCATAAGTTATTATGATGGTGATAATGGTGTATAACACCCTTCGACCTCAAACCATCATGCACCCTAGATATAGAGTTAAATACTTTATTGTTGATCAAACGTTATCTGTAACTACATGATCATAAAGACAGTTGATGGGTACTTCACAAAGAATGCCGAGGGACATGAGTGACCTAGATGGAATTTTCTCATCCTACATAATAGGATAAAGGGCCCGATATTGAACTGGACAAGGATGACACGGTCTATGCCTTGTGTTCAATATAGACACAAGGGCAAAAGGGTAATTATACATACAAATATTATCACAGAAAGGTTTTGTCAGATCACATGACATTTTCGTGACTTGGGTAGCAATGATATGTTGCTAGATACTGCTCACTGTTTATTATGTTAAATGTGTCATTTAATATAATTGTCAATGTCGCGAAAACCTACAGAGTCACACACATAAGGACATGTTGATGAGAGATAGAGTAAATAAGGAATACCGTAAGGTACGATGCACTTAAGTGAATTGTAGAACACCGTAAGGTACGATACACTTAAATGAAATGTGCAATATGGTAAGGTACCACACGCTTAAGTGATATGCGATATATCATAAGGTGTGATGCTCGTACGCTTAATTGGGCTTTTAGCTTGCAGCCTTAATTGGGCTTTTAGCTTGCAGCCCACACAAGTGATTCTATAAATAGATCCCTTGTGCTGAAGCATTTCACTTGATGAAATTTCGGTCTTGAAATCCTAGCTGTATTTTGTCTCACTCTCTCACTCAAAGTTTTCGTTCGTAAGTAGCTAGCAATATGACCAAAAGCGATTTGTTCGTGTGGACTGAGTAGAGGCATTGTTCTTCATCAACGCTCATGATCACAACATCGAAACTATGAATAAAAACAAGAGGTAATATATTCTATCACTGACCATGCCCATTCGTAAGGATCACTAAAGGAAAATTTTAATTTCCGTTGCATTTTAGATTGTAATTTTTCTTCACCTATACCTTTGTTAATATTTAATTTTGCCTTTCTCTTTTTGTCTTTTGCTGATTGTTCCTGTAACACATCACTCTTAGTCTTTCTTGTAGATATTTCAATCATTCACTACAATGAAAAACATCTTTTACCTCAGATGAAAAAGAGAACTTACCTCAGTTTCTCAGGCGAGGTAACGAAGGGCGTCATTAAAATTCTTGAGGTTTTATCTCATGAATGAATACTATAAATTTTGACTAATATTAATTAGTTTCAATTTCTTAATTTTTTGAAAAAAAAATAAGAGATGCACTAATAGTATAAAGTAAGTTTAATTTTACACAGTCAATCAATAAATATCGTACAACACCGTAAGCCGTGAATATCCATTAAGCTCTAATTTTTTTTATCCATAGGTGTAATTTTTATGGTTTTTGTAGAGTCAGATCCCATAGATATAAGTTTTATGCTATCCGCTATATAAACCACTTGTTCTTGTCTATTATATTATCACTTAAGATCTCACCCTAAAAGCGAATAAAGAGGTATTCATTATAAGAAGAACAATAATTATGATTAGGATTATGACTATGATAATGATGATGATCAATATTAATATTTCCATTCATATGAGAAGATATTACTCGATATTTTCTAAGAATCACAGTCAATGCTCTATATACCATTAGATCTTAGAACAAAACTTTGTTTGAACAAGATCAATACCATTAGATCTTAGAACAAAACTTTGTTTCAACAAGATCAATCTTCATTCGATTGAAGCAACAACCTTTAACAACATTGTTCACTCAAGTGAAGCATACACACAAAGTTTTAATGTTCAAATTTGTTCCTCTTAATTTAGAATTGAAAAGAAGAATAAAAAACAAGAGAATATGGAAAAAGAAAAAGTGAATATATTATTGATCTATCCTTTTACCATATCAAGAGTTTCTTATATTGACATTGCTTACAAACTAAACAATCTCAATTTTTCTAACGAACTTTCAAAACAGAATTTTGTTGTATATTAGAATTTTAAACTGCTAATTTGTTGTTTGTTTTCTAAGTAACATGAATGGATACTATAAATTACATTTTTACCAATTATAAGATATTAATATGATTTTATATAAAATTTTGGCTTATATTAATTAGTTTCAATTTCTTAATTTCTTGAGAAAATATGTATTTCATCATAGTGTCACGAAAACATGAATGTAATTATTTATTAGTAAATATTTAAAAAGAGTGTAGAAGAAGCCATTTGAAAGAAAATATTTTAAGATGTCATATTTCCGATCATTTGAAATCATTCCATTTAAAGAGAAACAAATTCGGTAATTGAAATATTGTAAAAGATTTATTCAGTCTATGTAATCAAATATATGTTTTTAAACTATACCCTAACCAGTTATAATAGCTTAATTTTATTTTATATTTTTATGACATTGAATTTAAATATCTTTAAAAAACGTGTAAAATATTATTATTACAATAATGAATAATAAAAAATTTCCCTATATATCTCAAGTTTTTAAAAATTAATATGTTCTGACTCATTATAAAATAAAAATATCGTTAATATATTTCAAAAAATATTATACCATTTAATATTCAAGTAAAGAGAGATGTAATCTCTATATCATATTGTAAATTTAGCTACGTAGAATTTGTTTTGTCTACGTAGAATTTAAATATAATGTCACTAGAAATGAAATAAAAAGTATTTCGTTAATTTAACTAAGTTTTTTTTATCACAATAAAATCAATATATTTCATTAATCAAATGAATTTCGATACAACTAAAAATCAAATTCAACAGATATGTTTTTAAAAATATGAATTCGAACTTGTAACAATTTAGTCATTAGGCTACAAAATAAAAAAAAAAATTTATAAAATGTAATTAAATAATTGTTTTGAATCACAATTCAAATAAAATATACTATAAATATATTTTTAAAAATAATTAATTAAAATTAATATGAATTAAATAGCATGTCACACGTGCCTACCGTTTAATAATGTATACTGTTAGCTCATAGAAATTAATTTTAAAATTTTCATAATAAATTATTTCTTATGAGTTTCAAATTTAATATAAAAAAACTGTAAAAATAAAATAAAATTGCACCATTAAATTTTTTTTTTTTGACATATATCTCCCAATGTATAGTAGGGTAAAAAAATATAGTTATATAGGAATATCTCTCACTTATTCATCTTTGATTAATTCAAAGCAACCGAAAAAAATGCAAAAACCAAACAACAATAACGAGAATTCCAATTTTCTTATATAATTAATAAGTAATACAAGAATCAAATCAATCCATTTTTATAACAAAGCTATTATTTATATATATATGTGAAATAAGGAATAAATTTATTTTATTTCTATTATTGATTTTTCATCAATAATAGGCCTTTTAATCCCCATCATTTCTCTAAAAACAACTTTTTGACTAATTCTTTTTTGACATTAAATTTTCCCCGTTTACCTCCTCTCTCTTTTATTTATTTGCTCCTTGACTGCACTCACACTTTACACCTTCTCACTTCTTCAATGGATTGCACTGATCAAAAGAATGAGTTCCATAAAAAGGTAATGCATGGTTCATATTCTTTTATAATTTTATTATCGTAAGTGAAATTCAAAATTTTTTTTGTTTTTTTTTGTTACTTTTTGTTTCAATAGGAAAATAGGGAAAATTCCATGAAATCGAAAGAGAAGAAGAAGAGTTTAGTTTGTGAAGTTTATGATAAACCAAAGGTTCATCATGAAGAAGGATCAACAAGCTCAAAAACTTACGTGTGTGAGTTTTGTAACAAAACCTTTAGTTGTGGAAAAGGATTGGGTGGCCATAAAAGAATTCACATTCAAGCCCTAAAGAAAGAGGGTTTGGCTAAAACAAAGGCAAAATGCAAATCATCTTATAATGATGAGAAACAAAGATGTGATGTTTGCAAAAAGGATTTCCCATCCAAGAAGGCCTTATATGGTCACTTAAGATCTCACCCTAAAAGGGAATGGAGACGTGTTCATTCTAAGAAGAACGATAATTATGATTATGATTATGGTTATGGTTATGATAACGATGATGATCAAGATCAAGATCAATATTTTCTTGGCGAACATAAAGAATTGGTTATTGATGATGATTCAATATCTTGGCCACCTAGATCTTTTAAAGCCAATAAAAGGGGACGTGCACGAGTTTTCGACGAAGAAGTTTTTAATGGTGCTCAAACACTCATGTATCTCTCTAGGGATCAAGGATTTCATGACAAGCTCAAGAATATGGATATTGAGAAGAAAGTGCTAGTTGTTGATGAAATTGATGAAACACGAATGAGGAATGAGAATAACAAAAGAATGAAGTTGATGATGAAATTGAAGAATCCATGTTCAACTTTTAAAGACAATATCTTGATGGAAAAAGATTGCTTCCAACTTGGCTCTTATGATGATAAAGAGAAGAATTTTTATAGGTCTCAAACTGAGATTGGAGAATCAAGTCAATCAAAATCAAGAGTTATTGAAGGGTTTTGTTTGAATGAGGAACCAAATGAAGTGAGTGAAGAATCAAACTAGAGTTTGTATGTGGCAATGTTATGCCTAGAGTTTTTTTATTTGTCAAAAATATACTAAGGATTTTTCCATCTATTTTATTTTATTTCATCATGTGTTTGAGCTGTGTATTTGACATGGAATATCATTGGTAATTAACTACTACTAGTTTTGTCTATTGTGAAAAGAGATGATGAATGTTTCTTGCAACTATGATGTTTTGGATTCAAATGCTTATTGTGGTTCTATAGCGATCGGGAAGAATTAATTTCTAAGATGAAAGTTGTATATGAGTTGATTTTGACTTATGGGGTGTATTGAAATGATATTGGTATTTTTGGTAACAATAAGTAAGTAAATTTGTATAGTTGTAAATATAACAATACAAAGTTAAACATCATCGTTACAATATCATTTCAATGCAAAGCTTATAAGTTCAATGGAAATACCATAGATCATGTGAATTAGACTTAGTTGAATATTAACTTGATGTACTTGAATATAAGTGAATTTCCTTGGATAGAGTATATGCAATTATGCCATATAGAGCTTTGACCTTCCATGGATGGATGGTTTAGGCTTTGTGGGGTGTTCCTAAAGCAGGAATCTTATGTCAATAGAGTATATGCAATTATGCCAATAAAAATTGCAATAGATTAAAGCTTTATTTTTATTATATATATAGGAAAGGTTACATATGAAAATGATAAGTGGTCTATTGTTCACAAAAGTGGGGATAGAGGTAAAAGAAAGATCCATGAAGGCACTCAAGATAAGAACTCTGGTAAGTTGGTTTGTGATAATGAGTTTGATGCTCTAGGGATTTTAAATGATCTCCTAGAGCTTTAGAATATTGATCAATGGTTGTAGCTTAGAACATTATGGAGTTAAATAAATCCTCTAAGATTAAGGAGATTAGCTCCCGTCTCCATTCTCTTAGAATTGATATTAACATTCTGATTGAGACTAGAGTAAAGGTTAGTAAAGCTTCCAATGTTAGAAATAAGTTGAATTTGTGTGGTAACTATATTGATAACTACTTATCTCGTGATAATGGTATAATTTGGCTTCATTGGAATAATAAGAATATTGATGTCAGATGTATTAAGCAGACTAGTCAGATGATCCATAGTCCTGTTTATGATATCAATGGTAGCTTCAAGTATTGGATGACAACTGTTTATGCCTTGAATAAGTTGGACCAGAGGAAAATTCACTGAAAAGATCTAAATAACTTGTGAATTCAGGGTCCCTGGTGCATCCCTTATGACTTTAACAATGTTCTTAAGGCTCAAGACAAGATTGGTGGGAATATGGTGACAGAATCAGAGTTTATTGATTTACAAGACATGATGGACAAGAATATGTTATATGAAATGGATTCTATAGAGATTATTACACCTGGTAGAATAAGCAGCAAACTGGTACTATCTACTCTAGAATAGATAGGTTAATTGGGAATGTTGATTGGTTTCAAAGGCACTTGAATAGTACTCAGAATATCCTTCCCCCATATTTGTGATCATGCTTTACTCCTTATCTCTAACCAGAGCCCTTGTACAAAAAATGTGAGAAGATTCAAGTTTATAAACTTTGTTACTAAAATGATAGGCTTCTTGGAGATTGTTAAAGATAATTGGAATTTGCAAATGGAGGGTTGACCCATGGTTATTCTCTGGAAGAAGATGAAACATCTTCAACCTATTCTGCAAAAATTGCACTCCCCTTGTTATAATCTAAGAAGCATATCCTAGCTGCCAGAAATAAACATGAGCAAGCTCAACAGGATTTGCGAGTTGACTGATTGAATAGTAGTCTGATTAAGAAGGTTAAATCTTATATTGATGATCTTCTTTATTGGAATGCTATTGATGAAGATATTTTGAACCAAAGGTCTAAAATTGATTGGCTTAAGCAAAAGTCTAAACCCGAGCTGTGAAATTTTGAGCTTGAAATGCACCGTACTGAATTTCTGTCTGCACTGTCCCAAATCGACTGGAATGCTTGACTTTATAAATAATTCAGAGCGTGCGGAAACACATAAGAGCTTAAAATGTTGATGACTTGCTTGGTTGTTGATTGGATAGCTTGGAAAACATGCGAATTGCGTTAAAATGCAGAAAACCCTGAGTTTTGCTTCACAGTGCTGCTTAATGGAATAGTCAATTTTTCGCAACTCTTTCTTGCAAAGAAACACCTCGATTCCATGAGCATAGAGCCAATTCCACATATGTATGCATATGGTAATGAAGATTACGTGTGGTCGTCCCAACCCAGGCAGGATCCTTTGGAATTTCTCAAGTCTACTCATAAAAGCACTCCAAGTGTGTTTGAAGGAAAACATTTAGATGTGAGGCTGATCAAGAAGAATATTATCAAGTATCTACTCTAGAGGTTTGACACGAAAGTGATAAGCTATTGAGTAAAGACAAGTGAACTTTATTTTTGCTTTTAACTCTATAGGAGCTTAGGTTTTGGTTTCTAATAAAATGTTTCTTTTTGCTTTTGTGTTCCTTGGAAAGTGATCCAATCAGGAGTTGAGGAGATTGGACAGGATGTCTAGACTAAATATCAAAGACATATATACCGACTTCAGCATGTTTGTGATGCTAAGAAGAATGTTGGAATTGGAGTTAAGATCTATTAATGCCGAAGAATTCATATGGATGTGGAGATCTTGGATCTTTGAGAAGCAGAATGCACTACTTATCTTAAGGACAATTGTATGAGTTTTTTATATCTTGTTTGACTGGAAGATGGACTTCTTATGAAGATTTCTGAACTGAAGATTTATCTCATAATGAGCTGGAAGTTTGTTTCTATGATTTGTATCTAGAATGAAGGGAGTTTTCAACTGTGAAGAAATAGAAGGTGATTTATTTCTTATCTTATGTCTTAAGAGAATGAAGAAGTATCAACTATATATGTTTTTGCAAGGTGAAATGACTCTATTTAATCCTATAGTTTGATGTTTTGATCGAGTTTTGTAAGGATAATCCAAGTCAGTTGGAGGAGTTTCTTCAAGAGGGAAGATGAATGGAAGTTTAAGGAGGATAAGTTTTATTCTAAGCTAATTAGCAAAGAGAAAACTCAAAGTCACAAAAGGTTGTTTTTATCAGAAAGGTAAGCTGAGTCAAGGATGTCATAACATTATGTCGGGCATTCTGCTTACTCATGCTAAAAGCAATTTACTTGCACTGAAGATATATCTTCTATGTTGAGTTGATTTTAACAGTTTTTCGTTATTTTCTCAAAGGTAAAGTTTAGTATTATTTAACCAAACAACAGTTAATACTCAGGGACGATGATTATTTCCTTTTCTCTCATACCTTTCTTAGGTCTCCAACTATGATGATTGGTATTTTGACACTAACTGTTCCATACACTTAACTGCAGTAAAAGTGTTCCTGGTGGTTTGTTTAAGTCTCATTCTGATCAAATGTTACTTTGCAGATGATGCTAAAAAGGAAGTCTAAGAACATTGGATAACTAAGGAATTCAGGATGGATTCTCTAAGTTTGGGTAATTGGTTTTTCTTCTTACTTAAGAACTGTTGACTGTTTGATCAAAGTTTGAAGGTATATATCATCAAGGAAGAATGATCTGTCACTAATGGGTGTATAAAGTGTTAGAACAAGATTGGTTCTGATCATATCTCAGAGTTTTGATGATAACAATAAATTATATTTTATATAATTTATACTCTGATGAACGTATTTAATTGTTTCAGATAATGTTCTGACAGAAGCATTTTGATGTGCTGAGCTGAAAATAAATGAAGAAGTTCTTTGATGAAAGAACTATTTGTTTTAGCGCAAGTGCTGATGCTGACTCTGGTAAGATAATTATTTTAAATACATCTTCTAATGCTTAGCAAGTTTCTGCGTAAGCTATGTTTCAGAAGTTCTTTGAAAGCAAGCGCTGTTCAGAAGTTCTTTGAAAGCAAGCGCTGATCATAAGTACTTAGCAAGCAAGCGTTGCTTAGAAGATATGCAAGCATGTTCTGAATCAAGACGTGAAGCCAATTTCTGAAATAATATAGAAGCTAATAAGTCTTGTCAAGGATCAAGAAACATGCTCTTACAAGTGTCGTTTTCTCATTTAATGCAAAGACGGCTACATGCACTCAAGTGTCTACGCTAGTTCATTGGAAAATGGAATAGTACAAGGAAACACACAAACATTTAATGCTCTCCACATTTGAAGGCAGCAACGGTCATTTTGTTCTTACTATATATAGAAGAACATTAATTGCAAGCCAACGACTGAACAACTCATTAATTTCAAAAGAAGCAAGAACTACGTGAAAATATTTTGGGCTCACAAATCATTTTTCATACACTTTGTGAAATTCTATTCTTAGTGAAAAATCACAGTTGTGATATAGCTTTCTTAGAAGCAAACTTTGTTTCACTATCTGTAAATATTTAACTCTTGTAATTGTTCCTTGAGAGACCAAGTTTGGTCAGATTTCTCAAGTAGACTAGGACTAGTTTAAGTCTTAGTGGTGTGAGTCACTTGTAAGATTACTTGTGCATTGTTAGTCACAACAGTTGTTGTGTGATTGTAATCAGTTGATTATAGTGAATTAAGTCCTTGTTGAGAAAGGTGAAATCACCTTGGCGGGTGGACTGAAGTAGTTTGAGTTCAAACGAACCAGGATAAAAATAACCTTGTCTTTCCATTATTGTTGAGCCTTTAAGAAAAAGAAAAAGATAAACTTATTCAACCCCCCCCCCCCCCCCCCTTATAAGTGTTTTCTCACCCTTCAATTGGTATCAAATCTTGACTCTGAGCGCAACACTTAACCGTGTCAGGAAAAGATCCAGAAAGAAAACACAATGGCAAATGAACAAAACAACAATAACTACACCAGAGCTCCAGTTTTTTATGGAGAAGATTTTGATTATTGGAAAGATAGACTAGAAAGTTTCTTTCTAGGTCATGATAGTGATTTATGGGATATAGTCTTGGATGGTTACACACATCCTACAGACTCCTAAGGAAATAAGATTGATAGAAAA